AATGGCCAATATGTCGAAATTCTTTACCAGATCAGGCAAAACTGATTGTAGTTTATCCTCTTTGAAGTTGACGTTTCAGAATGTCTTTCTGCCAACAATTTGAACCGCTCCAAACACGGTGCCCCAAATTTGCAATGGGACGCTGACTTGGCTTCTGGATCGGCCGACTGGGCCTTGTATCTTGCAAAAAAACCCTCCGTTCAACTGGAACACAGTGATGCGGATAATCAGTATGGTGAAAACATTTACTACTCGGCGACCTCTGCTATTGGTACGGTGGCATCGTGCAAACGTGCTGTCGAGTCATGGTGGGTAATATTTACTCAAAAATGTATGGGCCTCTTTTCCTTGATCTTAATGTTTTCCCATGATTACAGATCGCGTGTCATTCCCTAGAGTATCATTACTTTGTTTAACGGTTGAAATCAGAAGACAATCAAATGAATATATGGATACAAGCTCAGACAAAGATTCTTATTCTCAAGAGAATGCGAGACATGGTCTGAAATAGGAAAACTTACTATGTCCAAGCCGAAGTCTATTATATATGTATATTTTTTAAATTATATTTTTAATTATTTAGCATAGGAGAGCCACCTGGTGGAATGCTAATAAACCGTTATTATTTATCATCATAGTCATTATTATTATTATTATTTTAATTATTATTATTATTATTATTACTTATTATATTATTACTTTTCAGGTATTCAGAAATCAAGGACTACGACTTCAATAATCCTGGTTTCTCCTCGGAAACAGGACATTTTACACAGGTATATATTATGGCGACTTTTATCTCTGGAAAATTGCATGTGCATCCCATCATCTCCTACCATCTTTAAACAAACAAAAGTTAGTACCAGTCGGTAAATGAATGAATTGAATCCTATTTCTAGATCCCAGAGAAAATGAACTAAGAGAAGGAATTCCCCCTATATAGCGGCCTTTCATGTTGAGGGCAGATTTGAACATTTGAACACKTATAAGAAAAGCGCACAAGAAAACGTTAACAAACAGCGTAGAGCGCGCGCTTAACATGCGCGTGCAGAAAATCAAACGATTAAATAAAGGATATAATTGGATGATATTTTTAGAATAGATTCTAAAAATAGCATCAAAGTGTGCACATGATGGGGCACGGGGATTCCTTCTCTTAGTTCATATTCTCTTGCTAAAGCTTATTATTTTCCAGACCCAAWTATACTGACTTGTTTTACTGGCTGCTAAAAAATGAAGTACCACTATTCTSATTGCTACTCGCTGCTCGAGGCAACCCACTACGTGGAAATCGGATAATACTCTTAACTTTTTTAAACCCTTAACGTAAACTGCATGTTTTATAGAAGGAATAATTTGGATAGATATTCATATTGTAAGTCCTCGGTTTACAGGTCGTGTGGAAGTCAACTACCAAAGTAGGTGTTGGTATCGCTGCAGTCACCAGGAATGGTTTCACGTACACCTTCGTGGTGGCTCGTTACACACCGCCTGGAAATATGAACATGCCAGGATATTTTRCTGCAAACGTACTGCCTCCCTCAAAGTAAAGCAAGCCAGACGTAAATCAGTGAAGACATAAATAAATATCTTGCTCTTTATAAGTAAATGAACGCTTTGCTTTTAACCAATCCACTCTTTTGTCCTTTGATTGYTGTTTTCGTTTCCTTGCCCACCTTGCCGGTTCTTATTGGTTTCTTTTGTCTTGTTCTCAGTATTTACACACTCCTTTCTACCACTTTTCTCTTTTACTCCGACGAAGGACTGGCGTCCGAAACGTCAGTAAGTTTTTTCATCTTTTCACRGTGTAAAATTTACCCTTTTAATTTACCTTTATAAGTAATAGGAGTCTTGATAGACCATTTTTCATGTTCCTTCGAAACAAACAACTCCAGATGTCACTAATATTTTCTCGTATTTTGGCATCCGTACATCAAATTATTAACAGAGTACGTTTTTACTAGTATTTTTTCCCTTTTGATTTACGGAAGTCAAAAACAGATGTCTCAAAYTTTTCTAGGTCATAAAAATAGGAAAAACACTCTAAGTTAGCGTTAAGTAAGACACATTTACAAATTTTAGTAACCTACCCCACTGCGCCACAAGAGATGAATACTTCACCTTGATTTAGTCAGGGCCTGCGCTCCTTCAAGGTCAGCAACAGAAGTCTGCAATGAACCCTTTTAGTTAACGCGTGAAATTTTCTCATTTTGAAATCACCTGTAATTCTATRAATATTTTGATCTCACCAAAACTTCACACTTCAATCTCTTACTTATTTACAATATATTTATCAAAGAACCAGTAAATGTGTATCGATGGCAATGGCCGCGCTGACCGTGAGGAACGCAGGCCTAGAAKACAGCGACTGTCCATACACCTAATCGAAAAATGGCGACCAAAATTAGAATAACTATTGTTATGCACTGCCCAGCGACTGACTAGCCTCTCATACATGTGAAACTTGAGCACTTTTGTGTTTCTACGTGAACACGAGGCTAGTCAGTCGCTAGTCAGTGCAGAACAATAGTTATTCAAATTGGTCGCCATTTTTCGAATAGGTGTATGTCGTTTATATAATTTTTACGAAGACTAGAATTTTCTAGAAGTCGTACGTGACTTTGGAAAACAAGTTATAAAGAGCTTGTGTTATTTATGGGCTTCATGGTGACGGAGATAGATGTCAGTATGGAATTAGTGGGGCAAGTAGACTGACTTAGGGGTGTTATCATGGGAACAGTAGAAAAGACGGGAAAGGTATAGAATCTATAGATTAATGCATGTCGTAGCACGAATTATGGGAGTAGGAAGAACAGATGTAATGCAGCAATAAAATGGTCAATAACTAAAGAACAAGATGTCGAATGGTTAATCAAACGTGACGGATGCTTAAAAAACTGAGAGAGA